GAAATTTTCAATTTTAGAAATTCCTATGCAATATTACTCATGATACCCAGTCGGTATACCCTGTGTTGAAGTAGCCAATAGAAGAACTAATAATTGAATTGGCACAGCAGGCTACAGTGTGGGGTTTTTTCTTCTTTCAGAGATGTTTGCGTTGTTGAAAAGCATGGTAAGCACGATCTTACAAACTTTGCGCAGTAAACTTGTTCTTACACTTGTCTAATTTAATAATTTTTTTCCAATATCTTGGTTGTGCAGGCAACCATGTGCCAGTCAGAGCAGTTTAAAGGATATTAACTGGGACAGTTCACAGTGGCAGCCTCTTATCCAAGACCGCTGTTTCCTTTCATGGCTGGGAAAGATTCCATCTGAACAGGAACAGCTGAGAGCACGTCAGATTACAGCTCAACAGATTAACAAACTGGAAGAACTTTGGAAGGTATGAGCTTCTCTTTAAATACCAGCGATATTTAACCAAGTGTTATTTTTGTGTTTTTTTTGTGAAGGAGGGACAGGATTGTTTTAGCAAATGGGAATTTAGCGGAGAGTTCAGGGGATCATTTATTTAAGTAGGAAAGCTGCATCCCTAAGTTCTTCAGCTACGTCAAAGCTGCACTGTCAGGCAGTTTGCAGAAACCATTTTCCTTCCCTGTATTAAGTTTTTCAGTCAGTTCTGCTTGAAATGATGATTGGGTGAGTAAGGAACTCAGTCTACACTTGGTTTTCAGTTTTTGCTTTTTTAAGAACTTTTTCTGTGTGCCTTCTAATGCAGAGCAAAACCAACTGGATGTGAGTAAGCATGACATGATATCTTGATATTGTTGTAACAGGTTAGAATTATGCCTCTTATAACTCTTTCTGTGGCAGTGATATGTGAACCTGCAAACTGTCAATGTCTGACTTTATTTAAAAAAAAAAAAAAAAACTCCCAGACTTGATCTCAAATCTGAAATAAATGAGAAACAACAGTTTTCATTTTTTTTTTCCTTCCCCAAAAATGTCTCTAATGGAATACATAACTTCTTTCGTGGGGTTTATTGCTCCTGTTGCACAGTGAGTTTGTCACTTCTATTTTTACAACTTTGAAAGAAAACACTTATGCTTTAAATTCTAGGAAAATCCATCTGCAACTCTTGAGGATTTAGAAAAGCCTGGTGTTGATGAAGAGCCACAGCATGTCCTACTTAGATATGAAGATGCTTATCAATACCAAAATATATTTGGTCCTCTAGTGAAGCTTGAGGCAGACTATGACAAGAAACTCAAGGAGTCTCAGGTAGTATTCTTGAAACGTGCCTGTCTGAGGAGACTTCTGACCAGGTCTCTGATGTGAAGTGTCTTGTCATATTTAACAGAATAGAAGCAAGGCTCAAGTGCAACAAAAATCTTATTGCAGTAAAACTACATTACAGTAGTAATGGTGCTGTGAGATAGTGAGGAAATGAAAGGAAAATCCTCAAACTGAGTTTTAAAGAAGAGTTTGAAACACTTGAATTTTTTTCTTTTAGGTGTTTGTTTTTCTTCCCTAGAACCAGGTTCCATTTTAGAGTTGTTACTTGGCTGCTTGTTATTAGGTGGTTATCATCATAAGCCCCAGTTATATTTCTGTTGCTTTTGGATTTGGCAAATAAGTTTCCAGTCAAACTTGCATTTTATGGGCGTATGTAAGTACTTGATGAATGCTTAAAATGAAAAGAACAAAACCAGCGGTGGCTAGGAATTTGGTGCTCGTCAACCATGTAACTTTGTATTTGTCAAACAGAGTTATTTTCCGCAGGTGGTGCGGACTCGGTCCTTAAGAATAAATACAGACATTTAGCTGTTGTGTGACGTTGGAATGGGAGTTTTGCAGTTTTCCACTGTTTGGTGGTGGGGAGGGGGGGGAGAGACTATAAGGAGAATTGTGGTAGTAAGCAGTCTTTAAGAACATAATAGATGCCTTTCCTTTACCGTTAGACCCAAGATAACATCACAGTCAGATGGGACTTGGGCTTGAACAAGAAAAGAATTGCTTATTTCACTTTGCCGAAGACCGATTCAGGTAATGACAGCTTAGCTGTATGTTTTGTCTGTTTTTGTCTGGTGAATAACCTTGGTGTTTAAAGAACTGTGATGATCTGGCCTGGGATATGAAATAGTTCTGTAGGGTTTTTGCATTGGGGGATGGTTGTTCATTGGTGGGTTTTCTGAGACCTGTTTTTCTTCCTTTGTAGATATGCGTCTTATGCAAGGAGACGAGATCTGCTTGAGGTATAAAGGAGACCTGGCCCCTTTATGGAAGGGAATTGGTCATGTTATCAAAGTTCCTGATAGTATCCTTTACTTAATAAGCCTTTAAGAAAGGAGTTGTGTAGATCACAAGCAGTGACGTTGTGAATTAAGTAGCTTAATCTGTTTGAATTTCAGGTAGGATAGCAACAGTACTTCAGGAGAAACAGGTTTCTCTTTCTCCTAGCTTTGCTTATTATGACTTCCAGTACTGCAAGCAAAACACATGTGTCTGGAAAGTCTCCTTCTTAAAAGTTCCCTATCTGTAAAATGGATGAGCAGAATTTTAGAAGTTCACTGTGAAGAGTATTAAAAGTTACAAAGCGTTTCTGCACTCTTGACAGTGGGGGCCTTAAGGAAGGTTGAAGTCTCATCGTAATGAAACCACTAAAAATGTACAAAGTAATCTTGAAACCATTTAAATTTATGTCAAACAGGGATCTGCTAAATAAAGTGAAATAGGGAAAAATAAAATTCAAATGTTTGCAGTAGATTACTACTTAACGAGGTTCTACAGATTATGGTGACGAGATAGCCATTGAGCTAAGAAGCAGCGTTGGAGCGCCTGTGGAAGTTACTCATAACTTCCAAGTGGATTTTGTATGGAAGTCTACTTCATTTGACAGGTACTGGGAAAGCAGTTCAGAACTTGGCAAATAATTGGTATAGTTAATGCATGTTTTTTTCCTTTTACTTCAATGGGAAGTTTTGAGCAAGAATTGTTGGACAGGATGTATTGCATTTCAAAATGTTCACAATCAGAAAGAGCAGTCTGCAGGTATCAGGTCTACAAACACATGACTTCTGCTTCATGGAGCAATGGACCTAATTTTTATTAGAAGTTTATTTGATCTCAGTACTACTAAACTGCCACTATTTTTCATTTTGAGGGCACGTTTAAGGCTTGTTTCAAATATATCAAGGTAACACGTAAACTGAAGGGGGAAAGCTTACCTGATGTTTGGTTAAGTTTCGAAAGTAAGAAGAGAAATTATTTTACAATTCAGCGACTTGCTAAACGTTGCTCAGTCATGAAGTGCTATCTTCTCTTAGTTACCCTGCTAAACTTTGAATCATTTTACCTGGAATTTCAAGGTGATTGAATCAGCTGTGAGGTCAATAGGCTTCAGACATGTCTGTACTGCACTTTATAAGAAAAGAATTCTTTTCTTATCCTGAAAGAAATGTTATTTGCGACTCTTCTTCAAATCTTGCATGTAAAATTATTATGGCAAATTTTATCAAAGGCTGGTTACTCTACAGATTTTTTGCTTATAACACTTCATAGCATGTGTTTTTTGGGGGGGGGGGGGCGGACAAGATTTGTGTTCTTGGGTTCTAATTCTGATTTGTCAGCTCTACATCACAAAAACACCTTTCTTCCTCTGGGTGCTGATTCAAAGGATGCTGTGTGTGTGGTGTGGGGTGTTTTTGCATGTTTTTTTAATCTTAATGTGCGTGATGTCTGTTTAACCTTTGCACTGGACGCTTCTGGATTGTTATGTTTTAACTTGTACTGTTTTTTTTTTTTCCTTCCCTTGTTTCAGAATGCAGAGTGCTTTAAAAACATTTGCTGTGGATGAGACTTCAGTGTCTGGGTACATCTATCACAAGCTGTTAGGCCACGAGGTAGAAGATGTAATTATTAAATGCCAGTTGCCAAAGCGCTTTACAGCACAAGGACTTCCTGATCTCAACCATTCTCAGGTAATTCCATCCTTTTTTTACTACAGGCAAAGAATATGATAAAGGACTTAGGAATAGAGTTCGAAGAGCTTTGTAACTACCTACATATGAAATAACAAAATCTTTTTTTTTTTTTAATCAGGTTTATGCTGTGAAGACTGTCTTGCAGCGTCCCTTGAGTCTTATTCAGGGTCCCCCTGGTACAGGAAAAACAGTGACATCAGCCACAATTGTCTATCATCTGGCTAGACAGGGCAATGGGTAAGAACTCCCTCTAATTTTTTTAATGCATTAAAGTTGCTTTATTAATGGTCAGAGTCTCGACTTATGTTTGAACATTAAAATAACTTGACACCTTGCACTAGAAAGGTTTTCTAGAAATATACTATTCTGGAAGGACTTGTGCTTATTTCGGAAAACATTCTTAAGTAACTTATTTTTGGGGACGCATGTTAACACAATTCTGACTTTGTTGCAAGTCTATCAGAAAAGGCTATTTATAACTCATTGAGACTTATGTCGTTTTTTTTAATCTTTAAGGCCTGTATTAGTCTGTGCTCCAAGTAACATAGCTGTAGATCAGTTGACTGAGAAGATTCATCAAACTGGACTGAAAGTGGTTCGCCTGTGTGCTAAAAGTCGTGAGGCAATTGATTCTCCTGTATCCTTCTTGGCATTGCATAACCAGATCAGAAACATGGATAGGTACGAAGTTGTTGGAGGTGGAAAGGGAGGGGGAACAAAGAAAAGCTTGGATCCTGTGATGGAGGCAATAATTAAGTGTATAACAGCCAGCAAAAAGCATTTGCTTGATGTGGTGATTTTTTTTTGCTTCCGTATGTGCGTGTCACTTTACAGATGAGTTCTTAATTTCTGTGGTAATATATAAAGGTTTCCTCTGTGAACTGGCATATACTGCTCCCAAAGAAGTGGCACAATAAAAAAAAAAAGATTAAAAACCTAAGTTTTATATTGTAATCCGAAGACGTTGTTAATGGGGCTGTAAAGCAAATTCCTTTGTCTTGCAGCATGCCAGAGCTTCAGAAACTGCAGCAGCTTAAAGATGAAACTGGAGAACTGTCATCCGCTGATGAGAAACGTTACCGTGCACTGAAACGAACAGCAGAGCGTGAATTGCTTATGGTAAAGTTCTGTTGGTTCTAGCACCTTAAACAGTTGCCTCTTTTGACCTGAGGCTTAGTTGTATTTGCTGGTGAAGGCCAGAGTACGGTTTAGTTTTGGGGGGGATTTCTGAAAATAGTATTAAATGCTTTTCCGTATAGAAGTATTATCTGTTGATATCCTCTTTGACTGATTTCAGTTGTCTGTCTGTCTCAGAATGCAGATGTGATTTGTTGCACATGTGTGGGAGCTGGTGATCCAAGACTTGCAAAAATGCAGTTCCGCTCCATTCTGATTGATGAAAGCACGCAGGCTACTGAGCCAGAGTGTATGGTGCCAGTTGTCCTGGGAGCAAAACAGGTAGGAGCCATTGAATTTTGCTGAAGAAAATTAAGTTTATAAATAGATGAAGTAGTGTTAAGCAGTGGTTTTCACGGTATAGGCATCCAAAATGCTTTTATTCGTGGAAGACTTTCTCATAACACGGATCTAAATGACTTCAATTTGTGTTAGTCATATTAGTTTTCTGTTTCCTTGGCATAATCTTCACCTACAATATGTTGGCCCTGTTGGAACAAACTGGAGACTGAATAAAATTTTATTCTAAAACGATCAGTAATGCAACTGGACAGTTAGCCAGTAAGTAAGGCTTATAAGTTAGACTTATAAGCCTTAGGTTAGATCTGAAGCTTATGACAAGACAAATGGATTAATTCCTAATTTATTTTATATTAGGATATTGCTGTCACTTCCAGTTATTGGGTGGATTTCAGAACAATACAGACTTAGATATTTGCATTGTCATCAGTGATGAATTTTCCTTTTCCACAGCTAATTCTTGTAGGTGACCACTGTCAGCTTGGTCCTGTTGTGATGTGTAAAAAAGCTGCAAAGGCTGGCCTATCTCAGTCTCTCTTTGAGAGGCTTGTGGTGCTGGGGATCCGTCCGATTCGCCTTCAAGTGCAGTATCGCATGCATCCTGCACTTAGTGCTTTTCCATCCAATATCTTCTATGAGGGTTCACTCCAGAATGGTGTTACTGCAGGTAAACCTACAAATTGCCTTTTCTGTTAAAGGATTATAGGAAGCATGTTTAATCTATTTTTTTTTTAAACTACGTTCCCTCAAAAAGAGAATTGCTGCTGCACTTCTGTTTTTGAGTCTTTAAGATGCTTTGATGTGAGAGGGGGTAGTATTCTTTCTAGTAAAGCAATGCTAATTTTTTTTACTTACTGTTTTTTGTGTTCTTCAGCGGACCGTGTGAAAAAAGGATTTGATTTCCAGTGGCCACAGCCAGATAAGCCAATGTTTTTCTATGTTACACAAGGACAGGAAGAAATTGCCAGTTCAGGCACCTCTTACTTAAACAGGTAAACAAATTCAGCAGCAAGATATAGACTTATTTAGAAATCCTTCATCCCAGTATATCTCAACTATAAGGGAGATTGATATATGAATCTTTTAATGATTCTGGAACATTGCTAGGAGAGGAAGTCACAATTAAGAAAGTCGAAGGAGGATGGAATATACCATTCCTACTGCAAACCAAATATCTAAGTATATCTCTACCCTACAGAATCTCTGCACCTAAATCCATAGGTTTTCTTATTCACTGTAATTTGTGGTACCTTGCTGCGTCAGCAAAGACCTGACGCCTAACTAAAGGCCTGTGTTTTAGACAAAGGTTAATTTCTATTTCCGTGAAGAGGATACTTGTACTTAAAACCAGCCAGCCCACAGACCTCAGAGGTGTCATATGAGGGGATACGGTTCTACAGTGCTATTTATTCTTATATGCTGCAGTACGCTTTCTAAACTAATGAAATGCTATTTCCTATTAGCAGCTATGATTGAAATTGCTTGTGTGCCTTTTAAGTGAAAGCGGCAATCAGCCATAGCGCTGCTAGATAGGACGGATGCCAGCTAACCAAACTGTCTTTAGGAGATGATTTGCCCTGGGCTGCCTTTACAGTAAATGAGGAGAAAAAGGCATCCCCAGTGGGAGCAGTTCAGATCTTAAGTTGGTTTGAATTGTTCTCTGGGGGTGCATGTTTTCCGTTCTTAATTGTATAAGGAACATAGGGCAATTAAGTGTCTAATATAAATGGGGGTGAATTTGGGCCAGTGTCTAAACTGACTGCAGTTGCAACAGGAAGTGCTGATCAACTGCTGTTTCAAAGTCCCAATTCAGATAGCCTATATTTTGGATTTTTGGGGTGAAAAAGTGGGAGAGAAGAGAGAGAGATGTGAGTTTCAGTTCCTTCTCTTCCGTCCTTTTTTCCTTGCATTCCAAAACCTTTTTCAAAGAGTATATTTAAAATGTTTTGCTCCTTTTGGTTTCATGCATTTGTTCCTGTGCCTGAAAAGAAACCAGACCAGCTTGTGAAAAATAGCTGCTGTGGTATTTTTAATCTCAGTCTGTTTCATGAACAGCATGTGCAAGACTGCTGAATGCAGCAACCCAGATTGTGCACAAACAAATGGCACAATAGTTGGCTGACAGGGAGATTGGCTTAAAAACATTCTATATTTAAAACTTTAAGATAAAGCAATTGAAGGATCTGTTTGCACAGCAGGCTGGGATATTTTTAATGGTCTTGCTCAAGGCACGTGTATGCTCTCAACTATACTGAGAGTTTCCATTTTAGAAAGATGGCCACCATGAACTTTGCAGTTCCAGGAAGTTTAGTTGTGTAGGTCTGAGAAGGTCGGTGTACGTGTAAGAAGAAATTTGTGTCATTCCAAGACCTTTGGAGGTGCTAGCTTTTGCCTATATTTCTTTGGCAGAGAATATGCATGTGCAACCTAAGCCACAAGGTAATATTGATGAATGTTTCTGCAAAGCCAAAGCTGAATTAATCAGAGTAGCCAAGCAACACAGCATAAAATTACACTTGTTCTTGAAGTGGCTTTCTGACAAAAGGCTAGCACAGTATGTGTTATATGTGTTCAAATTTTTTATACCCAGTAACTCGCGAGAGGTATGTTAGACCTAACGCCTTAATTCTTAGAAAAACAAATCTCTCTTTGTAGAACGGAAGCAGCCAATGTGGAGAAGATTACTACAAAGTTATTGAAAGCTGGTGCCAAACCAGATCAGATTGGCATTATTACTCCTTATGAGGGTCAGCGATCCTATCTGGTGCAGTACATGCAATTCAGTGGTTCCTTGCACACGAAACTTTACCAGGTATGGAGTAACTGTACAGACTTGAGAGAACACCGGGATGCAAAGAAGCTAGAAAATTCAGATATTGTGAAACTTCAGTGTGTTCGTTCTAGTCTGACGACTTAGACTTCAGTGTGTGTTTATTCTTCTCTGCTAATTTTTGTGCACTTCAGTGGATTTTGGTTAAAATTGACCAAGGGAAAGGGTTTCAGAGGTGTCAAATGCCAATAAGTTTCAGGAGAGCAGTTGGCCAGATAAAGGAGAAAGCCCTGTTAAGGCCTCCATTGAAAGGAGGACTTCAGTGAGCCCTCCCTGTTAGGCACAGAAAGAGAGGTCATTAATGTTTGAGTAGCGGAAAAGCTTCAGTCAGAGCTGGTGGCTTTAATAGAAGCATCCAGCCAAGAGACATGCAGGAAACCCAGCTCCAAAAATTCTGCTGCTAATACAGATTATTTGCTTAGGAGTATGTCCTACCATCAGTTGGCCTCCTCTACCAAACACTAAAATTTGTTTCTACAAACAAGACAGTTGTACGTTTAATACAGTCTCTTTTGCAATATTGAAAAACTGGTGTTTTCACTGAAGGAAGACGTGGTGGAAATAACTTTTGCTTCTGCCAGGAATGATCTGTCCTTCTGATTCAGGCTTCTCAGCTGGGAGCAGCAGTGCTAATTTGGAGCTGTCTTACTACTACAAGGTTTTGGAATAGTCAGTCATTTTGGCAGTGTACCTAGAAAAAGGATGCTTTCTCTGGTACAAATGTCAGTTTGGGGGAAATATGAGAGCCATGAAGCAGTGAATATAGAAGTAGTTTGTCCTAAACTGAGACTGTCTGTTCTCCCTTAGGGAAACTATTTAGTGACCAGTGGAATTATCAAATCATTCCGCATGGCAAAAATAACATTTTTGTTAAATGCTGGCTTCTGTTACTGTGCAGCCAAAGTGTTTTGTAATACCTGTTGGTAACATAACTGTTTTGCACAGTGCTTCCGTGATGTACATGTTTTTCCTCCATTTCAGGAAGTGGAAATTGCGAGTGTGGATGCCTTCCAGGGACGGGAGAAGGACTTTATTATCCTTTCTTGTGTCAGGGCCAATGAACACCAAGGAATAGGGTTTCTGAATGACCCCAGGCGTCTTAATGTGGCTCTTACAAGAGCAAGGTAAAGTAAAATTAAGAATATTTTGTATGTATTTTGGAGACCTAATTTGATCTGTTAAGTAGTAATGCAGTCTGGCTAATGAAAGATCTGTTTTGTGCATGGAATGCCGGTGTAGGGGTATGGGGGTGTTTGGTTGTGGTGTGTGTGTGTGTTTTGGTTTTGTTTCTTTGTTTTGCTTAAGGGGCCCTTGGATGATTTTTCGTGTTCCCATCTATTTACAAGAGCAATCTAAGATTAATCAGTGTGACCGTTTGACATCAGTAGCCTGTAGAAGCAGGCATGTCCCTCCCATGTCTGCGGAGCAGATGAACTCTTCTGTTTGTCTGCTTCTCTGTTGTCCTTCCCGTCCTTAAATCTATTTAAGAGAAGTAGTGTTAATTACTGAGAAGGGTAGTGTGAAGTCAAAACTATGTTGGACTTCCTTGGTTCCTGCAAGCTTTTGTCTTTAAGAATTAAGCTTTTAAACAACTATAACATGTGGTTAGTTTAGTACACTGTGGACTTGCCAAATGTGTCAGAAGAAAGTGTGTGATTACTGAGAAACTGACTGCAGCAATTTCCTCCTTTCGAGTGTTTTGTCATACTACAAAAATTTTTTGTTGTAAACATAACTGTTGCATCAGGGTCTCCCATACTAGCCTCATGGGCTTCTTGGGGTGCCTTGGTTTACTGCAAAATAACTTGTTGACTCAGGCCGTTCTGACATTAATACGTAACACTACTTATTTTTAGTCAAAGTTGACTTTAGTTTCTCTTGTTATTTGCTGTTCTACAGGTATGGCGTAATTATTGTTGGGAACCCAAAAGCACTGTCTAAACAACCACTTTGGAATCACCTGCTGAATTATTACAAGGAGCAGAAGGTTCTGGTGGAGGGACCACTGAATAACCTCCGGGAAAGCCTTATGCAATTCAGCAAGCCCCGGAAACTTGTCAATACCATCAATCCAGTAAGTTGACGTTTCCTGTCTCTGTTTGTGTTATGAAGCGATTTGGGGTTAGATAATCAGTTATAAATGGATGGACTTACACGCTCAACCACATACCCTCACACACCCATATCTTTCCATTTTTGTTGCTTGGCTATTGGACTGTGACCAAGTAAGTTGCTTCCTCAGCTGTTTCTAAGTTGAGCACTTCTAGAAAAGATTTTTCTGTACTTATTTTGCAGTAAGTAAAAAAAGTTGATGTGGGAGGTAATCTGAGGTGAATAAAACATCAAATCATTGTTTTATGTGGAAATACCAAGCTCATTAGAAATGAGTACCTAATAGCATTATTGTACCTTAAAATTTCCAAGTTGAAAATTGTATCTAGTCCTTTAACATTTGGCAAAGGGGGATAAGTAGCCATAAAACAGCTTGTCAGCCCTCACCAAAGGACAGCTATAGAAATAGAGCAAGGGAAAGCTATCATTAGAACCTCAAAATAGACCGAAAATTCATCAAATAGTTTTACAAACAACCCATCTCAAACCGAATTAAGTGTGTGTTTTTTTTTTTTCCTAGTTGCCAATGATCTAGTTGGGTGTTTTCCATGCATTAGAATTAGTTTGTTTTCCTCAGCACTTGTAAAGTAGGCGTTGCCTGCAGAGCTTGACTGTGTTCTTATCCAAAAAACTTAGATTTGAGTTGCGGTGCAAATATCGGTCTTCTGTGCAAAGGCTTTGTCTAACTTCTTGTAATGCTTCCAGGGTGCCCGTTTTATGACTACTGCCATGTATGATGCACGTGAGGCTATTATTCCAGGATCTGTCTATGACCGGAGCAGTCAAGGTAGAAGCAGCTATCAAAATCAACATCTTTATAGACTTTTCAATTAGTCCTTGGGGGATGGTATCTTACAGACTTCAAAATTCTAAATGTTTTAAAGAGTTACTACAGAAAAATGCAGAGTTTAAGAACTGGAGGGGGTTTGCTGTCTGTGTAATTAAAGTAGACTGCAAAGGCTGCTATAATGCCTGCAAAGCAAGTACAAGATGATGGACTTCTGTGTGCATGTAAGCATTTCAGTAGTCTTGAATGAAAGGTATATAAAAGGGGAAGGTGGGATAAACAGGTGTCTCTGTGGAACTTGGAAGTGCAGGATGAATACTGAACTAGAACTGTCGGAGGTTCTTGGCAGCAGTAGGCTTGTCCATTCAGTTTCCAGTTTCTGATTTTTTTTCCCTGCTCACAAGTCCTCCCATTACTGTTAGGAGGAGGAGTATGAGTTGATTTTTAAATATTCGAGATGCCTGAAATCATTGTGGTTTTTTCCCCTCCCCTCCCTAGGGCGCCCGTCCAACATGTACTTCCAAACTCATGACCAGATTGGGATGATTAGTGCTGGCCCCAGCCACGTCACTGCTATGAACATTCCTATCCCTTTCAACCTTGTGATGCCACCGATGCCACCACCGGGATACTTTGGCCAGGCTAATGGACCAGCTGCAGGTACGTGGGGCAAGGGTGGAACAGGGCGAAAGCCTCATTTTTAAGTCAGAAGTGGGAGAACTGCTTTTGCTACTCTTGCAGCTGTGCTGATGAGGTTAGATGATGATGTGCTGGAGGGACAAGTCTTAGTTGTGTTGAATGCAAATACAGTAGTACTGCAGCCTCTGGTGAGGGTGTTCCTTTGCTCTGTCTACCTTGGCAGTTCTGCCTTTTGATTTCTCTGTGCTTGCTACTTTGAATACGTACAAAATATTGCCTCTTGCTAGCCGCCAGTCAAGTCTTTATAGAAGCAGTTAATCCCTGCGCTTTGCGTTTGTAAAACGTCTCACTGATGGTTGGGATAAACGCTTTTCCAGGACGAGGGGCACCAAAAGGAAAGACTGGTCGTGGTGGGCGTCAGAAAAATCGTTTTGGGATTCCTGGAACTAGTCAGTCAAACCTTCCAAATAGTCAAGCAAGCCAAGATGTGGTGTCCCAGCCTTTCTCCCAGGGTCCACTGACTCAAGGGTATATCTCCATGAGTCAGCCATCGCAGATGAGTCAGCCTGGGCTCTCCCAACCAGAATTATCACAGGTAAGCAGAATTTGATCTACAGACTGCTTTTTCTGAACTGTTTTTTTTAAACTGTTGGCTGCTTCAACAGCCAGTTATTGCAAAAAGTTTAATATTTATGGATTGCAGTTTGGTTTGTAAAAATTCTGCAGCAAAAATGGTAGATTTGAAGTTTCTCGCAGCTTTTATCCTTGACTTTGGCTGCCATGTAGCACTTTCTGCTCTGTAAGGAAGCACTTAAGCCTCCAATCAGTAATCAAGCTCAACAAATGCTCTCGTTTGCAGGACAGTTACCTTGGTGATGAGTTTAAATCTCAGATCGATGTGGCGCTGTCACAGGACTCTACTTACCAGGGTGAACGCGCATATCAACATGGCGGAGTGACGGGACTGTCACAGTATTAGAGTGTAAGGCACTTGAGGTTCAGTCCTTTGCTTCTTACTCCCTGATTTAAGTTCATGAAAACAGTATTTTGTCACAACAGTGGCACCCAGAATGCAAATATTGTTTTGCTTTCTTGCTTTCAGGTTGAGGAAGAAGAGCTAAGCTTGTGTGGAGCTTAGTTCATCAGCATTTTATTCTGGGTAATAAAAAAAATAAAATAAAATGGATACCTGTTTTCCACTGCTAAAACTGAAGCACCACTGTGTGAGAGCAACAGGAGAAAGAAACCAACCAACGGAGAGGAGAGAGAGAAAGGAGCGCGCGCGCGAGAGAGCCCACTGCTAGCTCACTGAGACAAGGAGACTGACCGGAGAGGAGAGAGAGCACCGAAGGACTGGCTGGCGCCTCACTGGGAAGGCATCTCACCCTGAAATGAGTGGTCAGCTGAGTCCCTGCTCCCCCAGTCAAACAAGCTCGAGAGAAGGGCCTTAAGCAGGTTTCACTTCATTCCATACTTCTCTTTGCGAGCAGGGCATTACTTTTCAGAGCAGACGGGGAGAGGAAAACCCTCATCTCAGAGTTGTTCTGGTTTTAAAGGGGTACTATATTTTAGCAGTAACTGTTTACATTTTAGAAACAGAGTATCTGAGAGAGAGTTCCTGACTAAGTGACAGCAAGCCAAGCAGAAATGCAGCGGATCATAGCTGATGCTCAACTCTGAGATGCAGGTTTTGTTGTCCAGCACTGGCTCTGAAATCCTAGTGTCATCGTGTCGCCCATATTCTGAACGGGTCTTTGTGACAAGGTGGTTTTAAAGAGATTCTTTCAAAGGAGCACTGAATTTTTAGAAGTTTGTCTCTGAATTCTTAGTGGTGGACCTGGGAGATCCTTGTTCTGAGAAGCTTACAAAAAGTTTAAAACAAAACTAAATTAGAGCACCAACCTTGAGAACTTTCAGTGTGATTTAAAGTTGCAGCAATCAGCCTCTTCTTCCTACATTGGATAGCAGTTAGAGTGAAAGGAGCCTGCGCGCTCGAGCAGGAGGAGGGTTTCAAAGTGTTTTCTGTATGCTTTAATTGGCTACTGTCTGGACTCTACTCTGTGAAAAACAAGCCTTTCTGTAAGATGAACTGTGCGCTTAAAAGGGGATGGGTTCCTGTGCCCTTCGGCCCTGGAGGAAAAGATGCTAATAGGCCTGCTTTATTCACTCCCACAGATCTGGGGAAGAAGTAGTGGAAACTGGGGATTATATTGGTTTTGAAGTAAAGACTCTACAATGTTATCGAAGCAGGTTGGAAAAATGGAAAAAGCAGGCAGTTGTTGGAAGGTGGCCTCTGATGGATGGGTATAATTAGAGATAATGGGTTAGGCTTTTGTGTGGCTTCTTCAGTGATTAATGCAGATAGCTGAAAGATTCAGGTGTTTAAAAACAAACCCGGAGCCTATTTTTTCAGGTAGTGGACACGGCTGTGCCATCAATGCTGGCCTGAGAAATAGCTGGAAGTCAAAACTGAAAACAGCACATAAAAGAAGCCATCCAATTTCTAAGTTGTACCCATGTCTTAAATAAGTCATATGGGAACACTGGGAGCATTTTATTTGTGTCTAAACCTTTTTAGAAACAGCGCAGAGAACTTAAATTCCTACAGACCCATTTTTATCAGACCCCGAAATTAGACTAACCTCTACCTCCTAATTGGCTAAGATCAGTAGAGTGTGAATTACTAACCTAGGTGTTTTTAAAGTTTGAATTAAGTTAGCTTTATACTCAAAGGGCTCCAAGTGTTTCTAGTCTTTTTTTTGGGGGAACTCAAAATACCTCTCATATGAATGTACTTAAATGATGTAAACCCCACTTTTTGTAACTGGGGGGGAAAACCCTTTCATTACTGTCCTTTCTGTAGAGTGTTGACCCGCTTTCATAACCTGTATTTGCTGTAGTTTTTCAAGAGTGTCTCTCCCCCAGTACAGATCCGGTGTAGCATACCCACAAACTGTGAGTAGTGTGCACATAAAATGGAACAGGTGTTCAAATTTTTTTCAGTCCTGCAGTGAACATAGTTCAAGAACTGCAAAATAAACTAAACTTGCCAGAAATAAAAACCATTCTTGTTTCATAAAAAGCCTCCAGAGTTTAGACTTCTAAAACGTGAAAGAATGGAGACACAGGCCACCTTCCTTCCTTGTAAGATGGACTGTTTTATTTATTAACATTGCCGAAGGGCTTTTTAATTTTTTTTTCCTTCTGGTTAGGCTGCGTAGTTGCATAGTTTTGAGATAGGTTTAAGCTGTAACCCCCTTGTGCAATGCAATCCATTGAGTAATGTAACCCCCTCCTCTCCCCTCACCCCCTTTATTTCACCGATTGGAATGCTTGCCTCTGCTTTGTGCTGTTTTTTTTTTTTCTTTTGTAGCAGTTACTCTGAGTTTTATAAATCCAGACATCAGTGCTAGCACGGTGTTACTCTTTGATTTTGTCTCAGTTTGTTTTAAACCTGTTTGTCATCAATAAAATATTAATAAACAGCTCTTGCATTCAAGGTGGCCCCTAACTTTCAATGATGAAACCATGAAACATTCATTAAAACTTAGTCTGATTGTATAAACTTCAAGTTTATTACTTCTTTTTCAACACATACTAGTACAAAAGTGTGGTGTGTGCATAGCATACATGGTTAAGCAAATGAACTGTGAGAAGTCTGTTAGACGTCCTACCCAGGTTCCTGCCTCTGGCTCTTGACCAACTCTATGCATGCCTTGGGGATTAGCTCAAATGGGAATATTCTGGGCCTGTGCGCTGCTGTTGGGTGGGAGTTACAGGGCTTAGGAAGTGCTTTGCTAAAGGTGACCAGTCCAGCTTGGACCATTTCCTACCTCTTGCTTTGCATGCTCTGTGGAAAACTAAAAATTGCGTTTACTCCTGTTAAGTAGTGGTTGACTGGCTTGGGTAGCTGAACCCTGTTTGGCCTGAATAGTCCTTCAAGATTGGCTCAGCTTTTGCTGAAAATACAGTTTAGGTGTTTAGGTCTGGTTTTGGCACTAGCCCGTGTGCTCAGGCAGCAGGCAGAATGTTGGCAGTAGTAGTGAAGCTGCACGTAGTTTTCATTTGATACAAGCTCATTAAGCTGGTCTGAGAATGTCTCAATTTCTAGTTGCTGTTGCCACCTGAACTGTTTCCTCGTGTGTTGTAACCCACCTGCTTCCATAGTGCTTGGATAGGGCAGCATAGGGGACTGTTGCCCTCTCTATTTTGTTGGAGAACAAGGTAAGGAGTTTTCCTTGCCTGCTGCATCCTAATGAGCTGAGCCCTTCAGTCCCTTAGCCTGCTGCAGCATAGGTTCAAAAAATTAATATTGAAGTTGGTTTGTCCTTTTTTACATTTGAACAAAAGGGCTCCTGTTAACTCCTGTAGCGAAGTCCTCCTCTAAGCCCTTACACCATTAAGTGTTTGAAATCAGTTCCAATACTGCTCTTGTTCATCTGCTGGAATAATGCAGGGCTAACCTTCCCTGGAGCTTCCCTGCTCAGGCATGTCAGAGTCAAGAAACGCACACTTGGACCTGAACACACTACTGTGCTTCAAAAGTTACATAATCAAGCTACTGCCTTCTCAGTCACCTGCTACACCTTTCAGGCATGTTAGCAAAAACACTATCCAGGAGGGGCAGGAAGACGTTGCCTCTGCAAACTAAGAAGTGGTTAAACCTTTAGTGCTCCCCTACAGGGAGAAGGCCTAACTTGTTATGTTAATACTTAATCAAACACTTAGGACGTTACAGCATAGCTACAAAAAAGAAAATTCACGCTACTTTTTCAGACTTGCATCAAAAAAAAAAAAAAAACAAAAAACCAAAAACCCTTCAAGTCTTGTTTCTCTTCCTGCCCTCCCTCCCCACCCTGCCCCAAAAGCTGCAGTTGAGCCAGCTGCCCTGCGTGTGTCTGTCGTGGGCAAGGGGTCCCTCGCTCTCCACCCTGTCCACGGCTCAGCTGGGCCACCTGCACCAGCCGAGAAGGGGCTGCGGCAGCGAAGGGGAGCGGTGCGGGCGGCCTGAGCTGGAAGGGGCACTTACCCCCGGTTCCCGGGGGTGCAGGGGAGCCTTGGCTGCTAACAGGGACAGCGCAAGACAGGAGGAATGGCTGAATAGCTTCGCCCAGGCCTTGAATCTAGCTGCCACAAGTGACTCCACAGCTCACATATGTAAAGGTGGAAGAAAAGAGGCAACTCCTCAGTCAGTGATCACAGTTGCTCAAAAGAGATGAGACAAAGCTAATTACATCTCAAACAATACTGATCTGCTATCTTTTATTAACAGCATTAAACAGACTTAGTTAAGAGCCTGTCCACACTATTGCAACAGACTAGGGAACACAGCCAACAAGCGCAGCTTTGACCTCAAGTCTGGGGGGGGGAG